GTGGTAGAAGAGCCTGGAGGGCTACAGTCCGAAGGGTCACCAAGAGTGGGATTCAACTGAGCATGTACACACATGTACACACACACAGGTTTCTTCCACTCAACATTATATTTGTGAGATTCATCCATGTTTTTGCATGCATCTGAAGCTTGTTCGTGGTCATTTGCTATGGAATATTCCGCTGAGTGAGTTGTTCTCCTGCTTGGGTCGTTTGGGCAGTTTCCATTTGGGGGCGGCTATGAACATTCTAATGCATTCTTTTGGTAGATATGTGTACACAGTTCTGTTAGGTACACACCTTGGACTGGGATGGCAATATGTAAATATTCTTCCCAAGTGAACAGTGCCATATTTTGTATTTCCCCCATCCAGTTGATGATTCTGAGGGGCATCCTAAGATTAGAGCAGACTTTTAGGAAGATTTATCTGGCTGTAGTATCTTTGATGGCTCAGAGCAGTGGTTTCAAGTTGTGTTTTGTTTCTAAGAGCCCTGGGAATCTGCAGAGTCCCCTTAGGGCTGCCACCTAGCAGAGAGAAGGGAGACCTGAGATAGTAGTTGTGCTCTGAGCTCCTCACTCACAGCCGCCCTCCAGCAGAGGAGGTGTGCTCCTACCTGTTTCATTAGCTTTTACCATCATCTAGAATTACTGGTCCGTGGCCAGCAGTCTCACAAGTTGACAGATGTTGGGGGAGAGCTCAGGGAAACCAAAAAAAGCAAAGCTGTTTTAGTCATCTCCAAACCCATGTCAACAAGAAAGATCCTGATCCAGAGGCTGACAATAGGGACACCATAGAAGAAGGTGCAGATAGGAAAATAGAACCTATAGGACAGGTCACCCCTTTGAATGTCAGGAAGCAGGGGGCTAGTTTCAGAAACAGAATTGAAGTTTTGAGTCCCAGTAACTGCAGTAAAAAAACAAAAAGAAAAATGGAGAAGGGGGTGGCAGAGGATGAGATGGTTGGATAACATCACCAACTCAATGGACATGAATTTGAGCAAATTCCAGGAGATAGGGAAGGACAGGAAAGCCTGGCGTGCTGCAGTCCACGGTGTCACAAAGAGTTGGACACGGTTTAGTGACCGAATAACAACAAACCATAAAGGTTGCTTTATTAGCAGAGAAGTTGTGAAGCCAAGCCCAGAGAAGGGCCCCCCTACTGGGGAGAGGAAGGGGAACCCAACTTCTAACAAGTTTAAGGAGCAGGCAAGCTGTGTGGATGTGGGGTCCTGCACACAGCTCCGGGACCAGACACAGATAGAAGAGTCTTCTACAAGCCCTTGGAAGGACATGGAATGAGGGAGGACAGAGAGACGAAAAGTAAGTACAGCAGCAAAATCTTCAAGGACAGCTGAGCTTGGAGGACTCAGAGACAGAAAGATGTCAGCCCAGGCGACAGAGAGGGACAGTCAGAGGCATCAAGACGTGCCCAGGGGAGGGCCAGGGCTCAGAGACCGAGTCAGAGTCAGGAGGGCAGGACAGTCCAGCAGCGTCCATGCCAAAAAATGGACTCATTCCAAGAGTTCTTCAGCTTTATCTGGAATCATGTTATTCCACGGAAGTGCCTTCTTAACCATCAGTAGTGTTCAGGGTCCTAAGTGTATTATTGTGCTGTTATCTCTGAAAACTTGCAGCTGCGTGCTTTTGCACATGGTAACTCAACCAGAAATTTCAGTTCGCTCTGCTAGCCTTTCCCAGAACATTCTGGGTAAAAGAGAGCTTACTGTATTTGTGAGCATGTCTTTATTTTAAAACATCCATGAACAGTATTTTCTCTCCCCTATGCTTGCTTGCTTTAGAACCCACTTGGTGAGGGAAGCTCCCTCCCCCACCCTCCCCTATTTGGACTGGCCCCCACTTAGAGAAGTGCTGGGGCTTCAGAAGCAGCCCTGTGCTGACCTCAGCCCCTTCCCATGTGCATAATTCTCTCAGGATACTAGAGTCAGTGTCTTGATCAGTATGACAACATAAAAATATTAAGCACTTAAACCAATGATCTGAGTTGTTCTGAAGAGCAGGACAGAGAGCCCACTCAGAGACAAGCAAAGAAAAGGTGCAGAGCATGTATATTGTTGTCCTTTGTGAAGGATGAGGCAGCTGAGACCTAGAGAGAGGAAGTGACATGCCCGAGGCCACCAGCTTGGCAGAGAAATCAGGGAGTCCCAGGTGTCGTGCTGAGCAGTCCCGATGTGTCCCAGTCCCTTTGGCTCTTTCACCCAAGTGTACCTGCAGGTCACCCAGACCTTCTTCAGAATGTACTTTTCCCAGGACTTATCCTTAAATTCTGATTCTGGAGGTCAGGGGCGCATTGAAAGAACCGCCCAGGTGATTCCGAAAGCAAACCCGTTAGAAACCCAACTTCTAGACCCTTTGTGGTTTGTGTGCTTCACTCCATGCTGCCTCTTAAGGGCAGGTATAATCTGCTTCTACGAAAATGTCATTAAACAGGTTGTATTTCAGAGAGGAAAACCCAATACTTTCCTCTATTTAAGAAGTATATGGAATTATTAAAACTGAAAGTTACACTAATAGTAAGAGGGGAAGCAGCCGTTAGGCTACTAAGAAATAGGAGTTTTGCAAGGCAGAGGATTCTTATACTTTTCCAGTTATCTGCAAAAATCTACTACTTATTACTCACACAAATTTGCATGTTAAATTCAAGAGGTTCACACAAGTCCATAAATGGAAATTAAAATAAAATTAAGTAGTTGGCCCTCTCTGATGCAGATGGTATATGAGAAAGCATTTCATAAATTTCAATCTTGGTGGCATTATGATTACCCCAGACCTACCACATTAGAAATAGAATATCAGATTTCAACACTAGGTCAAGGCAGAAATGACATAACAAACATACAGCAGCTTCTACATGTGACACATAGCTATATTTCCCTAGAATTTAACTGGGGATGGTTTTCATTTATAAATGAAGGCATGAACATCCCACAACCATGGGATTACTGGCTTTGTTCATTTATAAATGTTGACACTGACAGGTAATGGCTGTTTGTAAGACTTGGATATGTTTATTTACTCAGTCTATTAAAACCAGTCTCACAATTTCTACATGTAAGTAAACATTTGTCATTTATTTTTACTTATGCATAAAATTGTTCCAAAGAATCTCCTGAGCTTCTGAAAATACCCCAAGGACAAACTTTGATAGAATCTACTTCAACCTTCTGAAACTTATATTTGGTTCCAGACCACTAAATGCTGATTTCTTGTGATCGGTCTCAGGAATTTATTCCCTGGACTCATTAAGTGTTAGAAAAGTTTAACTTTACAGTTAAATGCATGAGTAAATAAAAGGCACTAATGTCATTGTATTGGTATTAATGTTTGCTGGAAAGTGTGTGTGACTCCCAGCACCACTCATAACGTGAACCGTCCTTGGGAAGCAGCCTGCTCTGCTCCACTGGAAGCAGCTGACCTGCACACGCGATGGAGCCATCTGGAGGAATTTCCTTCTTTCCAGCGCTTGCAGCATCAGAACTGTACTTTCTTATGTTTGCCCTCAGTACAAGGGGGAAAGTGCCAGCGAGGCCAGAGGCCAGATAAGGAGCTGCTTTTGAAACCAGTGGTATCAGGTAGCCTAAAACCAACCTCTGTGTCACCCTCACTCATAACTAGAGGAAAGAGGAAAGTATACACACTAGTGATCACTTCGGAAAGTCAAACAGAGCTGAGCTCAGGACACAGAGGGAATTGTGCAAAATATTACACTTGAGATGTTTGTGATGGTTCCTAACTGATACAGAACCAGGCCTGATACCGTGAGTTTCTCTGACTTAGCCTCTCCATTCGGAGATAACGTATCTAGGAAGTATTATCTGAAGGAATTTTTTTTTTAATGTGACATGATTCCCATTTGTCTCAGAAATTCTGATTTTTTATTTTTATACATTGAGTTCAGGCCCTTATCATCACTCACCTAAAATACAGCCACAGATCCCTTGTCAGTTTTATTGGATAAAGTATTTATTGAATTCCTGTTCTGTGTCCAGCCCCAGGAATATATTCTCTCTTCTGTTTTCTGAATTATGAAGAGGAAAAAAATTGCAAAGCCATCACTTCCTGCCAAGGCCATCCATGTGTCTCATAACAAACCAAATCAGTATGTATTTATTTTGTGTGCACAGCATATGGAAGAAGTAAAGAACTGTGTAATACAGGGTGGCTGGCCTCAAGGGCCAACCGTCAGATTGAGAATTAAAGAAGGCCTCTAGTGGGTGCAGTAGATGCAAATATCTGTGAGAAGTATGATGACCGGAGTTGTAAAGCCAGCTCTTGGGACCTGTGGTCTGGTAAGTTACTAGCACGCTAAGAGGAGCAGAATATTTGAAATAGTTCTGGCCTGGAAAATCTGGGACTGAAAGTAGCCATAGAAATTCTTTTTCAGGGTTTACAGGCAGCATCCTTTCCCACTGCATTCCATTTGATGATCTTGTTTTGTGAAATTCTTGCCTTTAAGAGAACAAACCTTAACAAGCAAGCTCTTGGTAGTAACATGCTGTGTATTTAAATGTGTCATCTTTCCAATGGTTTTAACTATCATTCTGTCATGATTTATCTTTTGCTTGATTCAGCCCTCTTTTTCAAAAGTTCTCTATCATTGAAAGAAAAAGTTTAATGGATTTGAATTAATTTGTGTTTTTAAGGAATTTTATATCACCTCTTAAGATGATAGGAGATATTCTGAAGTTTTACAAAAGTAATTGAGCTGCAGTAAAAGTGTGCCTTTTGGGGGCCAATTTATTTAAATTGCATTGATGTTGCTAATAAGGTTTGGACCTTAAATGACTTGACTTGGTTTCCTAGTCCATGTTTTCCCTCAAGTAACATTTTTTGGAAAAGGAGAGAATCAACAGGTTTGCTTTGAAAGAGTTCTAATCCTTATACATAGAGATTAACTACAAGAAGCTTCCTCAGGGACCCCTTGTATCTTCAGTTCTTTCCCTTTGAAAATATGTACACTTTCAGGTCCCATGAGGTTCGAAACAAACAAGTACCTTACCTGTGAGGGCCAGCATGGAACGTTCATCTTGCTGGTTACTCCAGGAGTTTGATAGACACTGCTTTTTCCAAAGCAGTAATCAGGTCCAGACATGTTTGATTGGAGGTTGGGCATGTTCCCTGCCTATAGTTTCAGGGGAGAAGGTGAGATGAAGGAAGAAAGAAAAATTAAATATCCTATTATGTAGTCAGTAGCATGTATACGTTATGGGTATCCGGACCAGAGTATTGGGCCTTTTGTTTTTCGTTGGTGAATGCACGGAGGGGCCCGGGGCTTCCTGGCAGGTTAACCTTTGGCATCTGTGACCTGGGGCCTGAACGCTGTATACAGCGGGCAAAGGGCCCAGATCATGGCTGTCTTAATCCCATCTGTGCCTCCTCAAAAGGCAATTACTTCCTCTGCACTGTGGACATTGGACATCCTTGCTAGATGGTGATCTGGAAGAGGAAACGGTAGATAATAATTAACGTATCTCCCACACTTTAATGACAGAGCTCATCTTACAGTGTTGGTAATTACTGTGTTACAGGCTATGAAGTGTTTTGGATCATAGAATCTTACTTTTAACTTTTTACCCTGGAAATTTTCAAACATACACAAAAGTAGGGTGCATTCTGTGTACCTGCCACCAAGCTTCAACAATGAGCAACACATTATTGGCCAGTCTTGCTTCATCTGCCTCCTCACCCAGTCTCCCCACCCTTCTGGTTTGTCACCACAGGTTAATTTTTCCTTGAATTGCATGTAAATGTAACTAGTAGGTGCTCTTCTGTGATGGGCTCCCTTCAGTCAGGGTGATGTCTGAGAGATTCAGCCATGTTGTTGCTGCATCAGTAGTTGGATTCCCATTTTCACTGCCAATTAGAAGACTTTCAGCCACATTTTTCGAAATATTCCCCTATGCTCTTCAACCATATGCCTGTGTGCTCAGTCGCTTCAGTCGTGTCCAACTCTTTGTGACCCTGTGGACTGTAGCCCACCAGGCTCCTCTGTCCACGGGATTCTCCAGACAAGAATACTGGAGTGGGTTGCCACGCCCTCCTCCAGGGGATCTTCCCAACCCAGGGAATGAACCCGTATCTCCTACATCTTCTGCATCACAGGCAGATTCTTTACCGCTGAGCCACTGGGGAAGCCCCATGCTCACCACCCATGTTTCTGAATTAATGGGTCTCCCCTATCCTTCCACCTCCCTTCCCTTCACGCTGTGCAAAACCACTCATCAGGGGCCCCCAGTCACCAGGTTCCATGAGCTAGGCTTGCTCGCTCCTTTCTTTACCCCTGTGAAGTGACTAATAACTGCCCCTCCTCTTGGCTGTGTGAATAACTATTACTGGGATTTTTTTTTTTAATCATAAAAGCATCACACGTGGTTCAGAGCACAGCCTCTGGAGCCAGGCTGCCGGGTCACAATGCTGGCGCCTCCACTTACCTTCGTTCTGACCTTGGCTGTCTGTGTTCTAAGCATCTGCCTCCCTCAGTTCCTTTAATCCTAAACTAGGAAAAACAATAGTAAGAGCCTCAGAGCGTTGTTTTAAGGATGAAGTAAGTTAATATCTGTAAAGCTCATAGAACAATGCTTGGCAAGTGTAAGAGCGTACCAGTATTAGCTATTAAGAGCAAAATAAATGAATAAAAATGTGCACCCTGCAGGACTGCATCAAAACACTAAAAATCCCCTAAAATCCTCACCACCTAGTGATAGCTACACTGTGGAATATTCTCTTCCAGTGTGTTTTCTGGATATAATGTATTTCAGCTAAACATATTTGTGACTAACTGACTAAACATATTTACACAGCTTTAACTTGTCCTTCCTGCCTCTCCTCCCCTGGCTTTTGTGATGGTGTCACCCTGCCCCTTCTCTGCTCCTTTAAAGCTGCCTTTCTGGTCCCTGCCCACACGAGGAAGGCCCAGGGGTGCGCCGTGCTCTTCTCTCCACGCCCTCCCTCCAGAGTCCCGCACTCAGCTGCCACCTCTGGGCTGCTGATCCCCATTCAGCCCAAAGAGAGAAGTTTTGTTCATTCTCACATTTCTTACCTCTTGTATCCAGCTTTTTCTTTGCATTCCAGTTGCCTCCATCTGTTTGAAATCTTATGTTCTAACTCCTAAGAGCAATAATGATGCTGATAGATAACACCGGGTAGTTTCCATGTGCCAGGGTCTTTTCTGTAATTTAATCATTATGGTCCTGTGAGGTAGGCATTCTTGTTACCCGATTTTACAGATAGAGCACCTCGAGGTTCAGTGAGGCTAAGTGGTTCATTCTGTGTACACATGGAGTGCAGATTTGAACCCAGTTCCATCTGATCAAACATACGATCTATAACAAATTGCCTGCCCCCAGACCTTCCACGGAAATGTTCTACTTGTCCCTCACAGTTCCCCACTTGTCTTCCATCCTGCGTAAGGTTGTTCGATTGTTTTTCTGATAACACTCCCCATGCCTGTCATTCCACTTAGTAACCTTTGGTGGCTCCCGTTTTCACGTAACAGACTCAGCCTTCATTCACTGCACTGCCCCCCTCAGTGACCATTCAGAGAGTCTCCCCACTCCTTCACCACCACCCGTCCAATCCCTTAGGAGATTGGTCCATTTAAGACTTGTGTCCTGCGTGCATGTCTACTTGCTCCGTCCCTCACTGGCTGTGTCTTCTCTAAGCTCCTAATGCTTGCACTTGGCATGCCTTTGGCCCGCTGATATTCCTTATTCATATTCAGTACTTAGTCCATCTCGTTGGAATCACAAGCCCTTTAATCACCAGTGTACACCCACGTTCGTTGTTTGTCAGCCATGCCCAGCCCCAGCTGGTGGCTGTAAACGTCAGCGAGCTGCACACGCTCGTCTCAGCCCTTCTCAGCCTCTCTCTCTCTCTCTCTCAATCCCACTCCTGTGCCCTGTGCATTCAAGCTGCTGTGCCGTTCATTTATTCAAGCTGCCGTGCCGTTCAAAGCAGAATGACTAAATTGCCTAACCTAAGTGGGGACAGTATTTGCCTGCTGCCTCACTTTCAATTCTCCCGTTAGGTGTTTGGTTGCTTGGTTGTTTAATTCACTCTGGGCAAGTAGGTGAACTCCTCTCTGCTTAGCAGTAGTAGAAAATGTGCCCTCTGTTTAAAGTCAATCAGATGCTAGGCCTTTATGACCAGAATCCTAAACATCTCTGTTCTGCTGCTTTGTCAGCTCACTAAGAACAAAGGTAGAATGGCTATGTTGTGGACAACATACTGGGTAATAGATCTTATTATAGACAATGTCCAGCCCTGCTTAGCTTGGGGAGCTAGAGAGGGTGCAAGGCAGATCCCCCAGGAAGGCTGGTGGGGAGGACTCCCAATCGGTCACATGGATGAAGAAGGCACCAGTTGTCTGGGTTTGGGGATAAAAGGGCCATCAACTGTGCTTGTTTCAGCAGCACATATACTAAAATTGGAAAGATACAGAGATGATTAGCATGGCCCCCGTGCAAGGATGACATGCAAATTTGTGAGGCGTTCCCTATTTTTAATTAATTTTTGAGAGTTTGATATTGAAACTTCAACTGAAAATCTCATCTACTTAAAAATAATTGTAATATAGAGCAGAACTATATATAACTTGGTTCTGTATTTTCCAAGTCTCCTGTAAATGTGTTATCATGCTTTCATAATTAGAAAAACAAAAAAGAGGAAAAGGCCAGCAACCACATAGCCACAGGTAAGAGATGAATGGCCATCTGGAATGCTCTGCCTCCTTCCTTAGATTGGTCCTGTGTCCCTTGCCAGGAATAACTTCCTCAAGGTGAAGTGCCTGTGTCTTTGGGAGCAAATGAATGATTTCCAGATGACAGAAGAACATAGCAAAGAGCCCATTTCATTGTACCCCCAGGTGCTCAGCATCTGTGAAGGGAAGGAGCCTGAGAGTAGGGGCGACTCCAGCGAGGAGCTCCTAGCTTAGTGCTTCTCCACGAGTGGTCGCCACCCCACACCAGCAACATCAGCCCTTCGGGGAATTTCTCACGAATGCAAATTCTCAACCCCTCGGCCCAGACTTGCTGACTCAGAGGTGGAGAAGCACTGCTCAGGGGGCTTCCTCACTTCAGATAGCATCCGTTGCTCCCCAAAGCAGTGAGCCCTTGGAAGGCAGGAATTCAGCCTTCTGATCAGCTTCTCTGATCATTCCCATTTCCTCTCTCCAGCCCCAGCGAGCTCCTTGTATAGGACCTGCAGGGAGGTGCAGTGTGTGCCGTGATGGCTATGAGCACCAGGGTTGATTTCAGCCCTATAGAGCCTCAGTTTCCTCATCTGAAAAATGGGTTAATAACACCACCTTCACCATGACCCCCAAGTATATTAAAATAAAAACAGGGTATAGAGCAATGCATATGACATAATCCCATTTGTATATTTTGAAACAGATATATGAGTAATCACATTTGTATGTGCATGTAATGTCTTCAGAAGAAAACCCAAGAAACTAGTAACAGTGATTGCCTTGTGAAATCTAGAGTAGGAAGACAGCTAGTTTTTGTTGCCTACTCTTTTGGACTGTTTAAAATCTGGACTATACACATATATTCTTTTAAAACTTAAAAATTAGTTAGTGACATAGGGCTTGCCTGGTGGCTGAGATGGTTAAGAATCTGCCCACAGTGTGGGAGACCCAGGTTCAAGCCCTGGGTCAGGAAGATTCCCTGGAGATCTTCCCACTAGAGTGGGAATGGCAACCCACTCTAGTATTCTTGCCTGGAGAATTCCATGAACAGAGGAGCCTGGCAGGCCCCAGTTCATGAAGTCACAAAGGATCAGACACGACTGAGCAACTAACAGTATACTGCCACTAGTGACATAATAGTAGTTTCCTTTTCAGGAATGTTGTAAAGAATAAATAGAATAACTTTACATAAAGCCCTGAACACAGTACCTGGCACAGAAAAAGCACACTGTTAGCGTTAGCCTTTGTCTTTAGTACTAACTAGTTATGGAAGTCATCTGTTCATTTATGTATTCATTCATAAATAAACAAATGTGACATCCAGCTGACTTCAGCCTGCCATGCAGATATAAGTGCATCATTTCTCATATCTTGTCTTGCTATGCTAGGCAGAGAGTAAAACTTGTTTGTAAAGATCACCCTCAGTCTTGATGGTAAACATGTGCCTCTGCATGGCTGGACCCTGGCCTGTCATATGGGGGTTGGGTGATGGGGAGCCCTGCATCCCTACTTTGCACATCAGAGAGCCGTTCCCTCAGCGCACCTTCACTGACTGCAAATCTGTGTGGGGCACAGTCTGAGGGTGCAAAGTGGCATTGCCCTCCGAATCTGGACACCACTCAAGTGGCCAACCCATGCGGGAGGTGAATGTTCACAGCCCCAGACACTGGCCCTGGTCAAGTGCGTCGGAGTCCCAGGGACTCCACCCCAGCTCCTCAGAGCTGTGAAGGGAACCAAGCAGGTGGGTAACCTTTGGCTTGGAACAGGCAGTATTTTGCAGGGTACACGTGGGAAGGAGCAGCAGGGTGTATCCCGTCTCTAGGAAAACAAACGTGGGGTACGATGTCACCCCAGGGTGATAGGTTCACACTGGCTGATGTGTTGTGTTGGTTGCTACATCACATGTCTTAGTCTAACCCAGGTATTTATTGAGGCCCAGTTCTCTGCGTCAGTCAGTGTGAGCGAGGATGGCACAGAGAACTCGCCTGCCTGGTGAAGGGTGTGGCTTTGAAGCAGAAAAGCTCTGGGTTCAAATCTGTTTCTGCTGCTTTCTAGCTGTCTGAGCTTCGAAGATCAGAAAGTACTTAACCTTCCTAAGCTTCAATCTCAATAAGTATAACACATTCAACCTTATAGTTGCAGACAGTATTAAGTGAAGTATTGTCTGTAGAGAGTACTTGATATAGTAGCTGGCGCATAGTAAGTGATGAATAAATATATTTGCTAAATTATTATTATTGAGCTGAACTTGCCACAGTTTAGTGGGAAGATAATCTCTATGCACACACAGTCAGTTACTTACCAATAAGCATTAAATAACATACAGTTAAGCATTGAAATCAACGGGGTTGCAGATGCTTTTTGACAATTGATGATAGCTATAAATCCTCACTTCAGAAAAAAAAAACATAGGCACACATACCACATTTTGTGTATAGCTTTAGGGACTTCATTCACAACTCTTCCTATCTCCCCATCTCATTCATGGGCCATCCCTTAGGAGTCCTGAGCCCCTGAGCTTCAGACATATATTAATAGCAGGAATCTATAAGGGGGATTAGTCACTGTAAGCAAAAACAGTTAGGGAGCCCTTCCTGGAAGAGAGAGAAATGTGAAGTAGCCTAAAAGAAGAGAGGATTTAAATTGGCCAACAGACTTCTCTGGTGGTCCAGTGGTTAAGAATCCACCTTGCAATGCAGGGGAATGCTTGTTCAATCCCTGGTCGGGGAACCAAGATCCCACACGCTGTGGAACAACTAAGCCCGTGCGCGGCAGCTGGAAAAGCCCATTCACTGCAGTGAAAGACCCTGCATGACCCAACAGAGATTCTGCATGTTACAACTAAGACCCGGCACAGCCAAATAAAATAAATAAGTGTTTTTAAAAGATAAAATAAACTGGCCAAGAGAAGCAGGCAGAAAACTTGGGTGATTTCCAGATGGGACTTGAAAACACTGCCCACAAAGCCAGGGATGGGGTGACAGACCCTGAGGCTGCAGCAGGAGAGGTTCTAGCTGGGGCTCTGGAGTCACATCGCCTGAGCTCAGATCCCAGCCAGGCAGCTTGCTAGCTGTGTGGCACTAGGTACTTACTTAACCTCTCTGTGCCCCAGCTTCTTCATTTATAAAACAGGGATGAAAATGCATAGTGTTTCTCACAGGGCATCTGTGAGGATTCACTAGGATAATGTACTGCCAGTCAATGACTTACAGGCTGCTGTCTGCATACAGTAAACTCTAGGCAGAAATAAGCTGCTTTTAGGCTTAGGATTTTTATTACGGGACAGAAATACTGGGGAGGATCTTGGCTGCAAAGCTAAGCCCTTTACTCCTGGGGGTACTGGGGAGTCCCTGGAACTTTCCTGAGCCAGAGGGACATAAGCTAAAAATGGTACTTTATCTGAGGATATCCTGGTGAGGATAAATTCAATTGGTGGCAAATAAGGAACATGAATGGTTACAAGACT